TGTCAAAGTGGTGACACCTTCAAAAGCGAGCTCAATTGGGAACTAGACATCGAGTTGTCGAGAAATGGATTTACTGAGTCCTTTTGTTGCATGGTGTTTGAAGTCCTGTAGCTTAAGCTACAATCGAGAGTTTTGTTTACAAGCCTATGGTTCTAAAAGCTTGACTCTTTTACATGGGAACTTCGTTCACAAACCTATAAATCCAGAAATATGATATTTAAATGAAGAGGGTATTCGTGATTCTACAGATTTGATTTTTTTTTATTATAGTCCATAGCTTCACCACGAGACGCTGAACTGTTGGAAGTTAATTTCGTAGCGCAGTTATTATACATCCCACTTGTTACGGAATTGTTATGAAATACCTCAGTTCTGCTGAGAAGATATTCTTCATTTCCATACGCGACTGAAGACTAGAAAGGTTTTGCGGTTGAGAATTTCATGGATGACCGTTGTGGGAAAATCAGTTTGTGAAATGGAACGAAATGGTGAGAGCCAAATTGGCACACCTACCGGTGTTCGCTCAGCGTTTTTAGTGTGATGGTCAATATAACATGTAACAGCAATGCTTTAAAATGGTCACATTTTCTAGTAAATTAAAATCTCTCTTGAGTCGGTGTGTAGCCTAGTTTTAGCCTTTCATTCTCGTCAGATGGTCCGTAATTCGGCAATGCAACCGGGCAAATTGGACGCTACATTTTTTCTTGATGTTCCAGATGAGAACATGTTAGTCAGCAAGGTTTTAAAAAAAAACGTTACCGACAGTGTTTACGAACTGTGCGGATTGATCTCAAAGAAGATGTGACAGACTCATTTTCAACATGCCTGCGAACGTGCGGTTTTTCGACAGCGGTCAGAAATGCTTCGATAAGCACATTGCTTGAAGTGTGTTTGAAAAACCGCAGAAGGAACCGTGACTTTGCTCTACCGCATTCTGAAATATCACCTTGATTGTCGATTGGTGCAGGTTGTGTACTGGTAGTGATGCCGTTCATCACTTGGAAGGTTCAACATACCCAACCTGGGTCGACTTTGCCCTGCGCACACCAAGCCCTTCATCCCTCCGTTCGAAGAAATTTAGACTAGACAAGCATGGTGCTCCCACATTCGACATTGAACGCACAGTCATGACTATTCCGTGATTCCAGGGAGAATAGACTCCACCAACGTTCAACGATGTTCATAACAAAAATGGAAAATCTTCATGGAGCAGACGAATCCAGGAGTGAAAGAAAGTTCAAAAACGTTCCTAAATGCTCAATAAAAAAGACGAATCGAATGCAAGAAATGTTGGAATCGCAAAGTGTGCGGTATGTGAAGCCGCAGCCGAAAGGAATCGCAAAAAAAAATTCAGAGTTTGCTTAAGATTCAGACTCAGCCGCTATGAAAGCACGACAACGTAAACCTTAACGACACACTCTTGGAAACTATCGCCTTCTAGTGGGCAAACTTCAGATTTCTCAATCGTTTTGCTTCTCAAAATACGTGCGTTAACAAAGAAAAGTGTTAAAAAGACTCTCGCGATAACTGATAATTTTTACTTCTAATTCATAAGGTTTACTTTACGATTTTATATGCTTGCTTTAACAATAGGTGCCGAACTATTTTAGGCTACTTGAGTACTGTAATCAATGCGCATTGTCTTGGATGTGTGATGTGTTAGTAACGTCAATCCCTAAAGGATACTCTATACAGTCGACTTCATCAAGTATCGTTAGAAGTAATTGAATTCATATCTGACCTATACTATGATTCACAGTGGTCTAGCGATGCTTCGAGCCAGTGCTGCCATCCTTCCAGACAGGTCTGGTACCGATTTGCCGAACTCGGAGAGATCGAGGACTTGGTTAATCTAGGGAAGGGGATCGAACCCATGCGCATTTCAGGACACTTTTAACCACCACGCACGCGCCTCTGCTCAGGTTTATAGATCCCATAAGTATTATTTTGGTTCTGGACCTCTTTAAGCACCACAATGAATTCTCGCTACGTTTTCGAAATCGGTATGCTACAAAGAAGACAATACATTTGTCATCATCGCTTTGGAAGCTTTCACAGTCATTTAAAAGCTTTCCGTTTGCTCATAATGTAACGGAATAGTTGAACATTTCATTCCATCTTGGTTTTGGTAACCATTTTATCTCCATTGATAGGGTAATCAGAGTTTGTCCTCTATTTAACATAACCATCATAATAATCGTAAATTTCATTATTTCAGGAATGTCTTTGATTTAACTTATCCATAAGAATAATTGAACATTCGGTTATTTCAAGAATGTTGTGGACAAAAAACACTTGCAAAGAATTATATCACATTACAAATTCGGCCCATTACACCGTTCTTGTTTGGTCGGCCGACCAATCGTAAGAAGCGCTATATCCACAAGAACTATTCCCTTCATGAAAGAATTTGGCGAAGCAAAGACATGCTCCTCCTAATCCACAGTGGGTCAACGACTGTCAGAGGCGAAGATCTGTGGGCACGGTATTGTTTTCTCAGGATTCCAGAGAAAGCCATACTGATTGGCTTATGTATTCAATGAAAGAGGTAATAGATAATCTTAAGCCGTGGTCGGACCCATTCACGAACATACGATGCTTAATGAAGTCAAATGCATGGCGTATTCCCCAGAGATTGATCAACGCCGAGAGATTTATCCTTTTATCCCCTTATGAATGCAGTGTAGGTAAAAAATACAAAACGCACAAATTACAAGATAAAAAATCAAAGCGAGGAAGTGTTGGAGCTTGTACGCGCTTCAGAACGGCATTCCTTAATTATTAAGCACTGCATCAAGTCTTTCTTCACAACCGAATTTACAGTAGTTTTCTTAAGCTACCCCACAATAGAGCGTTTATAATAGCGTAATGGGTGCAGGTACCCTGCAATGCACATCTTGTTTTCTTTGACCTAGTTCACAAATTTGATGAAGTCTGCGGGGAAAAGGTGCCAACTTGACACATTGACTAGCAAGCACTAGCCATTGTTCTGTCGAAATACGTTTTGAATCACATCTAGGATGTTCTATGAAGACGAATGTATGATGGATCGCTATGGGTTTGATCAACACCGGAACCTTTTTCTTGAACAAAACATGGTCAAAATATGGTTTGTAACAGTTAGTAAGGATGTAGAAATGTAGTTTTCTACGGACTCCAAGAAAGTGATCGTAAGCAATCCCATGCTAAGGTTTGCATAATGCTAATATGTGCCTATGAGATGTAATGAAGGGTTCTATCGCTCGTTGGCTTCATCTCCATGTTCTCAAATGGCTTGTCAGAAGCCTTCAGCTACTTTCACAATAATTTCCTCGCGAGATTTCATCTCCTTCAGCAATAATGCGTAGGTTTTTAAACAGTACTGAGGTATTTAGTTTATGAAGCGGATTTTCTTAAAATCATTTCACTCATGGCAGAAAACATTCTTTCTGTAGCTTACCTCCACTTAATATCACTCATATTCCGTATGAAGTGCTGAGATATTTGCAAAACTCCGGACCACAGGTGTATGCAGTGGGGAACGAACACGACCTGTTGTCCTTACCGGGGAGCAGCGCACTTCACCACTACACCATCCGGGTCCTTCGCTTTGCATGTATCTCAGCTGGTTCTATCGATCTTTTTGCCATCAGCAATCAGCATGATTATGCCTTAATGGCCTTAATGGCAGTATAACTGGGTTCAATGCCGATATTGGCTCCCCAGATCAATCCCGTTGACGGGTGATTGCTGATGACAAAAAGATCGATAGAACTAGCTGAGATACATGCAAAGCGAAGAACCCGGATGGTGTAGTGATGAAGTGCGCTGCTCCCCGGTAAGGACAACGGGTCGTGTTCGTTCCCCACTGCATACACCTGTGGTCCGGAGTTTTGCAAATATCTCAGCACTTCATACGAGTTATATTTCACAACATACCCTGTCATTAAAAAGAAAAAGGCAGTAAATAAAAGAGTTAAGATCACTCATATTATTAATATGTGGAACACTCTAAGAACCCTTTATAAAAAGCACCAACCTCAAGGCGAGCTTCGGACCGAATCAGGTATCGTTCTAGTTTCTTCTTGGTACAAAACGACTTTATGAGAAACGCACTCATATCTCTGCCGCCACCTTCGCCGTAGCTTCTTCTTGTCTACAACCACGACGCTCCTCATGAGTTACAAATACGCATCACCTTAATGCACGACTGAGCCTATCCCATCTCGCAACAACCATTTACGGTTCAATGCGTTCTACTTCTAGGCAAACACTCGAGTACGATTAGACAGGTTGTTCACAACGCTATCATGCAAATATGGCGTCGAATACTTACTCTGTTGGCTTGCTTTACACTATAACGCATGAATATTGTCATGACTTGTAATTCTACAAGAAAATTCTTACTGTGTTCAGCTTTTACTTTCTCTATTTTGTGAATTTCTTATGCCGCTGACTCCTCTCGAGTTTTTGACGAAGGGGCACATGCAGCATAATCGTTTCAGACGCCACACACGCATAGTCCTTGGTTCGATCTCTCGCCACGGATTCATTCAGCTGATTCATGGGTAAGCAACCGCATATTATTATATAGGCGAGATATGCATTCAGTCACGAAGACGAGATATGCATTCAATCATATCAGTCACCTCTGCAAAGCTGCGAAGGTAATTGAAGTCATGGTCATCTCTCAGAAATTCATCATCGCCGAACACTTTGACATTTAACCATGGGGAAGGATGAACTATTGATAATCCTTACAGTGGGAAAAATTTTCTTTTAGTAGAATGTTCTGAATATGCATTAGGTCGAGTTCTATCATATCATTCTCAACGTTTCAACGATTTTTTTCAGTGCATAATTTAATTATCATTGCACGAAATTCTTACGTTTTTTTCTGCCTGTAGGCGATTCGGTAGAGCAAAGAAACCGCTGTGATACATTTAATGGAGCGAAAGTAGTGTTACAGTATCCAACGTAAATCAATTCAGTCACAGCAACCTATGTCTCGAAATGTGCGGCTAGATTTTTGACGCGACAATATCAATGCCTGGTTTGAATGTCACTCCATCGTTTGAACATTGCTCTATTAGGTCCGGTCTATGAGCTTCCAACTCAGTATATCCACAAAGAAACCTTCCACACACGAAAATTTGAGGCAAAGTCCTACACTTAGTCAAATCCACCAGTCTTTTTTTATTTTGAGCGGTCATAGCATCGTTTATATTCCTCTCCACATACAGGATCCCATCATCATTTAGCTCATCCATCGCTTACAGTAAGGGCAATGGTCTTTTGTGTACACCACAACAGGATGCTTGTGAACCTCGTCATAAATCACTTTGGATTCCTCTCAAAGCACCGGTTTTCAAGAACTGCTCCCTATCAATCTAGGGCAACAACCAATCTGTTTAGAGGCGGATAGCACAGTGATGGTGATCTTCGTCATCACGAATACGGTGCTAGTTCGATTCCGCTCCGGGCCAACCAAGCCTCTCATCTTTCCGGAGTCGGGAAGTTGGTACCGGACTTGTATGGGAAAAAATCACTCTCTGCAATACAATTGGGAACGCTCCAGCCCGGCTATCTCAAGATGCAGGGAGAATTGCTCGACCGGTATTTTACGACATTCAAGACGAAATGTGCTTCCTCAAGCAGCAACCGAAGCCACACGTAAAAGTTAGATCTTCGTTGACAATGGATGGCAAGAAACCAATCGAATGTGGGATGCACTGGGATCGGTACAGTAGACGTGAAAACAGGTCATATAAAAACGATAAAAAGCTAAAAACTTATGTCTACTATACCGTTAAGGGATAAATGGAAACAGCTCATTAACGCGTGACTTCCGGTAATAGTTATAAACACAAGTGCAGCGGCTGGGAACATCGTTGATGGATTAGGAACACTGCCGCGTCGTTCTGGCCGAAGTGTCGCTTATTCATTCGCCTCTGTGTTTGAAATAAAAGGAAAAGAGTTAGGCAGAGCGCTTGATGGTTTTCAGAAAAACAAATCTTTATTGTTACAGAGTGGAAGATCTTGCATTTCATAGGAAAAGTTATACGCGTTTTAATGGGTTCTACTTCCACTAACAAAGTTCGTTTTGACCTATAATATGTTTCTGTAAAATCAAGAGGAAATTATTTTTGAGCGGCATGCATTGAAATCAAAGCGCGCTGGCTATTGTGTGTTGTTATTAATTATGCAAGAAGAATAGCTTTCATTCATTTAAACCACCGAACGGTTAAATTCTCATTCAATAGGCTAATTTGATATAGATAACAGGAAACGAAACTAATCGAACTGAAGGTCGATAAAATTTGGATTGCCAACAAAGCTTTTTTAGCCTCCAATCCTACTAGTCATTGAATAATTCGAGTGAGCACCAACAAATTCTCCATTCGTTCCATCCACCCGACCGAGCGTCCCAATAAACTTTATTCCAGCGATGGAGACGCAACAGAATATCAGCGCTTCTATACAAGACCTATTAGGTTTACTGTTTTTAGGTGACAAGAGAGCTAAAGTAGCTTCTCACTTTACAAGAAAAGCTTTACCATTTCATCAGTCACGTCTTTTTTGAATGGCTCGTCGGGGTGCGGTATGGAATTGTTCTTCTCTTTACTGGGCTTCCTATCTTAAATATCGTCTACTTTCTCTGCTTGAGTGACCTTGCTGAGCAAATTCGGACCTTCCGTTGAACATTACGAGTGACAGCTATACCACGAATAATGGTACAATTATAGTAATTCTCAGGAATTTCGTGGAAACGATTACAGTAGGAACTATAATGGTGGGACAAAGCCCAACCCACAATTATATGAAACTCTTGTTCGTTTAGAAGAGAATTTGTTCTTAAATCAACTTTTTATAAGTTCCAACTCTTACCTTAGAGAATGTGATTCCCAACAATCAACAGGAACCTGTCATTGTTTGAACTAGTTCGATGGCATGACGACTGGTCGCATTTAGTCATAACTGCATAATTTGTGAATGACCTCGAAAACAAGCATAGTTGGTCAAGACCGTTTTTTAACCTAGTTGAAAAATTGAGCAGATGTTCTTAAATCTGAATTTTAATGAGACTAAGTTCTCTTTTTGCTTTCAAATTTTACAAGTTTAAAACAAGCGATCCACAGAGTGACGTTCCAATACTTGTCATTTGCGTTCGTGTCCAGCTTTTCATCGTAACTCTACATTCTCTGCTGCTCATAAATTTGTATCCCTCTTTTCAGCGGTTCATTTGCATATTCTCGGTACAGTTGAAGGCAATAGATGAAATTGTTCTCCTAACCGGTTACGAGGTAGGCGATTTGTGAACCATTCGACGTCATTACTGTCTGTTGGCTTTGCTGTGCTTTTGTGTCCAAGGTAGTAGCATGACTCACATTGTTTGAGCCACTTCGTCGAATAATCGCCAAATGAAAATGATCGGTATTGGAAATACTTGAAGTGCACTTGTAGTCTCATTGCCACTAAAAATTCACGAAAATTTTGTGCAAATTCACTTGCTTACTTCCATGCTTTTCAGCGATTTTTTTACTCCTGTTTAGTAATGTACGTTGTGAGTTTGATGCGAATTATACACGTACTATAGTGAAAACAGATCATAAAGCTCGCGACGTTGATCAGTCCTTGAGGGATGCACCATGCATTCGACTTCATCAAGGATCTTAAGCGCGACCGAATACATATCTGGCCTGTACAAAGACTTGCTGTGGCCTACCGATGTATCAACTCAGTGCTGCTCTTTTCAAGAAAGTTTGGCAGCCGTTTGCGGACCACGGATAGTTGGAACACTCGGTGAGTCCAAGGCTCGCGTACGTGCCCATGAACAAAGAATCCGACGTTGGTCAATCCCTGAGGGACGACCAATGCATTCGACTTCATTAAGTATCGCTAGAGGTGAATGAATGCACATCAGGTCTCTGCAATGACTCGTAGTGGCCTGTCAAGGTATCGATTCAGTGCTACTATCCTCCCAGACAGGTCTGGTACCAATTTGCCGACCCTGTAGGGATATGGAAAACTTCGTGAACTCAGAGCGAGGAATCAAACTCATGTCATTTGAAAGGCGCCTCTAACCACTGCAGTACACGCACCTCCAGTGCAGTATTTGTAGTACAGTATTTGTCTGATGCCATTCATTTAGTAACAGTACAGTATTCGTCTTGAAATTACCCATTTAATAATAGTAGAGTATTTGTCCTAATATCGTCCATCTAGTAATAACGCGGTATGAATCACATCCAGAAGCATCGTAAGAAACATTTTCGTCCTAATAACGAATGTCCTTACTACACTTATGAAAAAGCTTTTATCTCTACCCGATGTTATACACTTTTCAAATGTTGGAAGTGTTCAAGTTTCTACACAAGAGTAAAAAATCTGCTTAACGTTGATAAATCTCTTATGGACGCAGTTCATTCGGCTCCGTTATGCATCATAAAAGTTATTCACTGCATATTTGACCTATATAATAACTCGAAATGATATGCCTATGTATGAAGTCACCATGTTTATTCTCCGAAACAAATTTTACACCACTTTTCCGATCACCAAAGGACAGAGTCTTTGGAGAGCTCAGGAAGCGTGATCGAACCAGCGGTCTGTCCAGTGTGTATTGCACGCCTCTACGTATTATATTTAATGAACTATGTATCGTATTTAATGTTTCCTTGATAGTACTACCTTGTTCATATTAGAAACGGAGGTGCTCTTTATTAATAACTCGGACGCTCCGACGTTAAAGGTTTCCATACTTTAACTGACTGCTCATGCTCACGTATTCCTAATACATATTTAATATTACATACTCGAATAACCCCTCGTCATGAAAAGTGTTGTGAGCCACAGCACAATCCCCATTTTGCTGACATATTCCTCGTCGGAGAAGGCTACTTCTCTGAAGTATTGTGGAACCAGTGTATGGTCACCATAAGTTGTCGCCGACAGCTGGTGAACGGAATTAAGGAAGATGTCTATCCTCCGCTTAGATTTCTACTTGAACCACGCTTCTAAATAAATTGAACATCGAACTATTTTGTTCAGTCGTCAAGAGATTTATATCTAGGAATACTGCCTTTACGAATATGGAGTGAACCGTTTAGGAGGTTCGACAACTAGTGTACATACCTTGAAGTATGATGGACACCCTACCTACTTGAACTTCCTAGAATCACATATTGGAGAAGATTTCTCCATGCACCTCTGTACTTGCTTCAAAAAACCACAACTATAAAATTCATGGATAGATTGTCTAGTTAATAATATTGATAATATTAACAATAATAGCATTAGTAACAGAAATAACAGTGATAATTGTAATATCCAACAATAGTAAAAGATAATGGCAACAATATTAATAATACTAATAGCAATAATAGTGGAAATAATAATAGTATTAATAGTTTCAATGATGCTGAGATATTTGCAAAACTCCGTCCACAGGTGTCTGCGGTGAGGAACGAACGCACTATTATCCTTTCCGGGGAGTAACGTGTTCACTACCACACCATACGGGTCCTTCGTTTCGCCTGTTTCTCATCTAGTTCTATCGATCTCTGCCATCAGCAATAACCCGTCAGCGGGATTGATCTGGGGAGCCCAAATCGACAATGAGCCCATTAAAAAAAAGAATAGGCAGTAAATAAAACGGTTAAGATTGTGAGCATTAGTAGTAATAATATTGATAAAAATGCTTATAGATCATTCTAGTGGTTTTGTCATTGCACTGGATTGCTCTTAGATGTCTATAGTGTTCGTCTTCAGCAAAGTCAACTGATCTGAAAACGGGTTAAACATTGCTGTTATGGAGCCCAGCTGAAGGGAATTCAATGCCAGCAAATGTCACTTACTCTCCTCAAAGGAAGTTATTCAAAAAATGCCGGAACTCTTTTCAATCCGGAATGGAGAGTGACTCATTTTGATTCGACCTGGTAACTCGGTGATATAGGTTTCTCGTTGATAGAGAATCTTTCCCAGTCAACAACGTATTAACCAGGTGATACATTGCTGATAATCGCACCATTCCTCGTTTTGTCAGGACATTCGATTCCTTGTTCTATCGTAGTATACTGCATGTTTGAAAATCCGAAGTTTAACAAATATAAAAATTCTAGCTTTCCACGAAATTCTTTGCTGTCCTGAAAAATTTGGCTCGTCCGTATTTACCCAGTTGAGCCGAAAATAAATATATTTATTAACCTCGTGCAAGCTTATCAAGAAAGAATACATATTACCCAATTGAACCATTAGGCTAGTTTTTTTTTCCGAGGTATGTATTTCTTTTTTACATAAAATTAAACCAAACTCGGACTCTGAGCCAAACTATTCTAAGTTTTTTTTTCAAATTACTGTTGACATTCA